GAATGCACCTCTTAAATTCCTCTATTAAAATTAGGTGTTTTAACTTATCATGACTCATGTCTACCCACAGTGAATGGCACCAATGATCAAATAACTGTTCCTTACTTCTAGCAAGTTCTATAATTTCTAAGGCTGACTACTGACTTTCTCACAGTTTCTAAACTTTTGACAATAAGCCTTGGGAATTAGTTCATAACCCTTTAAAATAAGATCCTTAATAGTTTTATAACTTGCAGTTTGCTTTACACTTAACTGTGTTTAAATTTCTCTTGCTCTACTGACTAGTACTCTCTTAAATAACATTACCCAGTAAACTTTGGGCCTCTTAACGTTGCTAGCTACTTTCTAGGAAGTTCTGTGGTATGCAAGTCAGCATGACTAAGCTGTCTGGAAATTTTTATGAGCTTGTAATTACAACAAAAATTACTCATAACAGCTATAAGACCTTTATTGAAGGAATCACTTATCTGCCAAAAGGTCTGAATAGGAGCAGATATGTAACAAATTTAAGAAAATGAATGACACTTCTAAAATTAAAAAGCATGTTTTGACAGTTCTTCTGTTATCTTTAGTTCTGAATAATACAAAGTATAAAGTTGATTCTAACCAATTATTTAAGATTTATACCTTATCCCTACAAACTGGGTTTCATTTGCACTCTCGTTGGTGGAGCCTAAAAGATCAACAACATATGGTTGGGTTTTCATGAAGACATCAAGAAACTCACTGAAATTCTTAAAAAGAATCTATTTCCAGCTCATCTGGTTGAAAGGGTTGTCAGTTGGTACCTCACGCTCACCCATTATGAGTGCAATCCCCCAGTCTCCATTTCAGACACTACCACTAACTTTTATTTCAAATTACCTTACATTGGCCCTTTTTCTGTTGTCACGCTGAAAAAGGTTTGGCAATTTGCTAAGTGTTATTGTAACAACATTGATATAAAGTTGGTTTTTTCATCTTTCAAAATAGGTAACATGTTCAAGGTGTGAGAGACCCTATCCCTCGTAGGCTCCATGCATGTGTGCTTTACAAGTTTTTATGCGTGAGTTGTAATGCCTGCCGTGTTGGTGAAACCTCTATACATTTATCCACATGTGTACACGAGTACTTGGTCAGTGATAGGACCTCTCACATTTTCAGACATCTACACAATTCTCCACAATGAAGCACTCAGATGTTCAGATGAGTGTTTTAACATCCAAGATCATGCTTCCACAACTTTTCAACTTGAAATCAAAGAAGCTATCCACATTCAATGGGAGAACCTACTCTTGATCACCAACTTTATCATGTTAACCCTTTAACTCCCACTAGTGACCAAGACAGAATTTCTCCTGACAAAATTAATACAATATCAACCAGATGAGTGATGGGAATAAGGAAAAATATTAATTTGGGGATAATTAGTTGATACTCCAATACTAAATTCTCTGAACTAACATTATAGGAATTATATGGTTGACAGTGAGGAGAATGAGAAATTTGATCTGAGAGTTAAAGGGCTCATGACTTTCCTTGTAAATGCATATGTTGTTCTGTTACTATCGTTTGTTTTGTCCAGTCAGCATTTTGTTGCGCACTTTAAATTCAACTTTGTACTTATTATTCAGATCTGAAGATGACAGAAGAACTTTCAAAAGATGTTTTTTAAGTTTAAAAGTGTTATTCGTTTTCTTAGAATCTTTCATTTACTCTTGTTAGAAGAGGATTATTGCTCCATCAACTACATGGGCAACTGCTATGGCTGGCTAAAATAATGTTTTGTAGATTTGATGCCATAAGGATTGCCAAACTAGCTATATCAGTTGAATTAGTAGGCACCTTTACAACATGAAAATCATCAATGAGATAGATAACAAGTTTCTTTGGTCTCTCAAAAAAATCAATAACAATTTCATTGATTGCTTACATTTTTACAAAAATGTTCACTGTATTTGTTCTGCTTTATCTTTCAGGCTGTCTGGAACTTGATGCAAAAAATTAGTTATCAGACTTTCAGGCACAAACAGTTCAAAACTAGCCTATTGATCATGCTTTTATTTTTGAAAAAAAAATGTTTTTCTCTTTCAGTTCTATTTTTAATCTTCCAGAGCATTAAAGAATGTACAGTCGCATGCTGATTTAAAATGATGTAAATGAAATGTGTATTTAATTTTTTCTTTTTTTTTCTTTTTTGTTTTTGCACAGTGGTTAGGATCTCTTAGTAAATAAATGGTTTTAGTATTTGAAAATAAAGTTGCGATCCACGTGTAAAGTGATGAAATTTGTGTGTGAGGCTCCATCAGTTGTCCAGAGAAAGATGATGGTATGAGTGATGTCTTTTAGTCTCACTGATACATTTACAACAGAGAGCTTTGTGTGTTTACTTAATTATCATTTCTGTTAAGGGACTGAACAAAAAAGTCTGGTGTATAATAACTCAGTCCCTTGTAACTGAGCAAGAGCAAAAAGTTAATGAAATAAAATAGTTTTGCTGAAATAAATGCCAGCTGAGGCCATGTCACTGAGTGAGTAGATCTTCTTGGTATTCAAACAGAACACTTTCTTATAGATAAACTGACAGGTTTTCCCGCTCTCTATCTTTAGACCTAAAGTTAATACTCAGATGAGAAGATGTTACTCTTGCACTCAAATTGGCATTTCATGTGAACATGAAGTATGCATGGCAAAGTTAGCATATGTCACATCTTGGGTATCAAAACTACTCCCTAATTTTAGAGCATAATTTCAGCATTAATTTTTATTACACTATTGAATTGGCAAACTCGCAATTACTGCATTTTTAATTGATTCGAGATGGTGTCCAGGTTTTGAAATGATCAAAAACATGTTTGGTTTCAAGAATTGCCCCGGGCAATCATAATTTGCCATTGGTAATTTACATAATTTACAATTTATATTTCATATTGATCCAACATAACTTCATCAATCAACTGTAATTACAAATGGAATATTGCTCGACCCTATTGTAGGAGTTTCCTTCCAAAGATCTTGACTCTCTCTTTATTGGTGAAACTATTTACACTGTATCCAAAAAAGAGAGAAAGTAGTTATTAATAACATTTTTATGAGTACGAGATGTAAGTGGGAGGGTGGGGGGAGGGTCAGAGTCGCACCCTTTCCGTATCACGTTCTCCCGCCTCCCGTACTTTTGTGCCCCTTTGCCTCCTGACTCCCGCCCTTCATTGTGTCGCTCCCGTCTTCGGGTTAATCAAGATAATCAGAAACTGGGTTTAACTTTCAAATTGTGCCAACACTAAACATTCTTGTTCATTTTCTGGCCTTTGTTTTGGCGGGGGGGATCATCGGGTCCCGATGAAAGTTATTACAGGTCATTTTTCTTAGTTAAACTAAGGTTCACTAACCTGATTATCACAGTTTGACCATAGAGACGAAATTCTCAGCCCATTGTGTAATGTAATAGCTGTTTCAATTAGGTTTTCCATGCATTATCTGGGCTTTTCTGAGATCCAATGAATGAGACATGGAAACCATTGACTGCTGAAACTACCTAAGGAAAACCCGCGCGACTTTTAAAACTTTCAATCTTTCCTTGGACTTCATGTTGTTTTCTGGGAACATTTATATATTTTGGAAGAAGAACTCTCGCCATCACCTCGCACACTTCTCGCACAATGCCACAAACAGTGGATTTTCTGACACCACATAGATTTCCAATCGTTCGATGATGAGTGTCCGCGAGCCAATATAATAATGTTATGGCGACTTGATGACGCACTGCAATAGCTTTCCTGTAATTGGTGTCCCTTTCAGTGATATGTGGCGAAAGTTCTAGGCAAAGGCGATTAAATTCTCTTTAAGACGTGAAAATTTTCACTCCAATCCTGTACCCAATCTTGGCAAGTCTCCTCCCAAAATATAAATACGGCGAACGATTAAACTGTCTTTGTGGGTTCCTTTTTCATCATCACCTTCATCGCCTGTTGCGCTAGTAGGTGCATAAGGCTGTCACATTGTCTGTCCAACCGCCTTGGCCGCATTTCAGCTCCTCCACCCCACGTTTCTTTTTCAGTTATGTGTAATTCTGGGGTTTTGCCCCAGCTGTGATTGCACCAATATTAGCAGGATGTTGTGATTTAAATTGAACGCCATTTTGTTTACGTGTTTTTTTTTATAGGCAACAAGCAACGTTAAAACGAAGTTGCGCAAAAACTTACGCAAGTTATTGTTTTAAAATTGTTAGGTTTCGATGGGCTAACGATCGAGCGCGGGCGCAAGGAACTTGGACGTTTCAGCCTCTAACATCACGTTAAGCTTTTAAAGCATTGAAATTAAGACTTAAAGTCCTTCGCCATTTTGGTCTTTCTCTCCATTAATAGCTTTAGGTACATTAATGTAGCGATTTCTTAAGAAAGCTGAAAATTTGCACACAGGCCTTCAAACCTGACAAGCGAGCATGATTGTATACACACGGATGGAAAGTCTAGTAAGTTTTTGCTTCAATCTTGGCTTCCCAACATTACTTATGCGCAACTAGCGTTTTCTTTGGAAATGATTGAATGAATGTTATAGCTTCAAAAGAGCTTGGTACCGGATGAAAACGATCTATAAATATATATGTTTCTGTCCATTGCCTGCTTATCTAGTTTTCGAGAACTGTGAATAACGGCAGTGACTGCGACAGACAAGCATTTAACCCTTATCGTGTCAGGCAGATATCTTGCAGTTATAACGCAATGTGTTGTGCGTAATAGAAATAATTAAACCCCAGATTCAGCCAAGAGGCAACTGAATAGATGTTTACAAAGCAGATTTTTCTTGTGAGCAAATTTACGACGATTTGACATACTATGCCCACGCTTTCAACCTTCAATCCTTTGATCAACGTGTGAAAATCGTTCGACTGCAAATGGTGGAACTTGATTCACGAGTGCACTGAATGTAGCTGGAAAACTATATCCAATCACTTTTAATTTTTCCTACTCTGCTTTCTGTTTGCAGAGCATTGGTTTCCTTGAGTTGCAAATACCTGTATTATGGAAAACGAAGCCAGCGGTTTGATAGACTCTTTCGTGGCCAGACACACTATAGACCCAATCTTACGCTCGGATCTGCTTTCTCGTAATCAAAATGGCTCACGCCCTGACCAAGGCACACGGATGGGGGCAGAGGTAAAAAAGACTGAATACATCATAGCTTATAGATGAGGAGAGGGACACTGATATTGCTTTTCTGCAACTACGTAGCAGCTCTGCTGGGGCGGGAAGGGCGTTCTAAAAGTCATTCTCAATCACCAAAATTGAAGCCGAGATCGCAGCTTTTCTTGACTACGACATAAAAACTGGAAAAAACTATGAGATAGAATGATCCGGCAAATTTGATCCCACAAGCTTGGTGAAAATTTGATTTCCTGTATGACAAAAAGATACCTTAGGGAATTGCAAAATAAACTCACGAAAATCGTTGTTTTTTTCGCTGTTGCGACTGCCCCCTTGAGGTGCTTTGCGATATCTCTACTGGAAAAATATTACCAATTTTCATTTACCTAAAACAAAAACAGCTCATAGATTTATGAAGCATAAAAACGAGCATTCCAAGCGGGAAAAATGGGTCTGTATCGCCCGCTCGAAGAGTTAGTCATACAATAAACATTTCTGAAAATAATCTTATTTTGTTTCATTTCTCCAGATTGCTGGGTCAAACAACATTGCTATCGACTCGCCTGTTGCGGGTTCATATTCGGGGAACATAAGACCTTGCAATGTTGAGTCTTTAGAGTCCACGAACAACAGTCCTCTTGCGTTGGTGCAAGGAGTAGCCAGAGCGACGGTCCAAATGAACAGGGGAATGCAAGAAAGAGAACAGCGTGAATTGGAGCGGGAACAACTTCAAAGGGACCAGGAAAGAAGGGAAAGAGAGATTAGAATGAGACAAAATAGAGAAATGATAGGAAGAGAGAGAAGGGAAATAAGAAGATCTAATGGATGGAGAGAATGGCAAGAAGCAATTCCTGGACCTTGGTGCTCATGCCACCTTGAAGAGGTGACTAACATGTTTTTCTTTAGTTTCTTTCCTTCTAAATTGACCAGCAAGTTGTCTTTCCTTGCACCTGCTCGGGGAAAGTTGAAATGACTCAAGCGACCATCGACGGCATTTGGAAAAAGAAAAAATTACGATATGAAAACTGAGAAAGAAATAACCCGTGAACAAATAAAACTTCTGTTGATCCCGTTTTTTAAACTCCAGTTACTGCAGTTTTGCCCGTTGCCCATCATCACTTCTTTCCACATCCCTTTTGAAATTCTTAGTTTTACCTTTTTTTTTCTTGTTTCAGTTTGTAGGAGACACCATATGCAGAAGATGTGACAGACAGAGATACTTGTAAGTCTATAGCCCTACCCAGCTAATTCGTGTAATAATGCTCACTATTCAGCAAAGTTGGTGCCACAGTTGATATTGTTGCTGTTTAAACCTAGTTTTTAGGATATCATTACAGCAATTTTTAAATTCTGATTCTGTGACTCCGAAAAGGACAAAAGTAGTCTGTTAGCGCCAGTCAGTTCAAGTAGCAACGTTATGGGTAGATTTTTGTAGAGGACCTCTGGTAGCAGTATATTGTACTAAAGAAGTCCTTTTTTTTCTCCTGGCACTAACAGAGAAAGAAACAGTGTTGCTACCAATGCAGTAGAAAATTTGGATCAACGTTTTGGTCAATCTGGTGACTCAGTGACGAACAGAAGCTATGGCAGCTCTTTGCTTGAATTGGAACAACGCGTGGAAGAAGCGTGCGCCTCGGTGGAAAGAGTGTTGAGAGAGAGAGAAAGTGCAGAGTTTGGCCGGGAAATTGAAAGAAAAGAGCATGAAATACGAACAGAAAGAGCACGGAAGAAGAGAGGAAGGGAGGCAAGACAGCTCCCCGGAGTTAGCATGTGGCCTCAGCAGCCATTTCATGCACTTCTGTGTAACTTTAGCGAGCAGTGTGAGGAGGTAAGTTAACTGAGGGCCCTGTTATTATTCATCACCTGAGGAGGAGGGGTTGAAGGATAAGGGGGGGCAATCACGTTGTTTTCAGGATCAGATGGTGGGACTCTGGGATATTGACTGCCAATGAAGGGTGGAGGGGGGGGGGAATCATTAGAATTCTAGAAAGACTTGGGTGGAGGGGAATCAAGTACATTTTATTTCTACAAATCCAAAGTTCTCCGTCCCTCGCCCCACTATCACCCTTACGATTTGTAAGGACAGGTCCCTGAGCACCACGATGAGGGTAATAGAAAATCTTCTGCTCAAAAATTGCTCTACATCTCTTGATAGCCGCCTTGTAATATTTTCCGCACGAGTGGCTAATTGTGAGTGGCTAGAATTGACCGAGCTATCATTCGCTTATCAAAAGTTTATCGATGTTAATAGGCATGTTTTTTTTCATTTTAGAATCTAAGAGGCGAAGGTTCTGGAAGACAGAGGTAAGTACAAGCAGACTGAATTCTGTAATATGCGCACTTTTTTGACTCCTTTGGATAAATAGGTCTTCCCAGTCTGGCTCATGCTAAACATTAATTAATCAGTTTGTTCATTAATTAAACTGTTAGGAAATGAAGGATTCTTTTAATACGGGATAAGGCTAACTACAGCTCCTTCTTTGTTTAGAATTGTAATGGATCACCCTCTGAATCACGACATCTCCAAATGTGATGTTTGTCTGAACAAACGGCTTCAAGGAAAACCCAAATGCATTCCACAGTCGGGACAAGATGAATGTTGCATCTGTTTGGAGGTAATGACTGAGATCAAAGGCCCTGATTTTAGCAACTGCAGCAAAACAAGATTGATAAACGCATATAAGGGTCACTTGATTGGCGTCTTGGAGGCTAGATGGCTAATCACTGAGTAAAGCAAAATAGATATAAGTGTAGCAACCGAATCAAATGGAAGGGCTGTAAAAATTACTACTAACACACTTAAAGTATTTCGAGCACAGGTGGATCGATTAAACAGTTCCTTGTCTGAATGACGGGCTATCATATCATCATATTTCCTTTCTTAGAGGGACTTAGAATTGATACAATTCAAATGTTAACCCTCTTTGATAGACCAAATTTTCCTTTTCATCCCTTTTTGAGATCCTCCAATCGATCAGTCAATCAAAGAACTAATCGCTCCGTCGCCTCTGATAGTGACATCCGCTCCGTTTATCTCAGCACGCCAGTTTCTGTTACCAACAACTGTCCTTTTCAGGACTGCATCAACATACTGAGTACGTGTGAGTCAATTGAATGATAAATGAAATCGTTTTTCCCATTAACTGCAGGACGCCCTCAGTGGTTATCAGATCCTGCCATGCTCACACAGGGTTCACAGAGAGTGTGCTATTGCAATGATACAGAATGGCGTGTAAGTACACCCAAGAAGTCCGCACATCTATAGTGATAAGTGTTGCTACCGGAATAAGATGATTGTTAATCAGTGCACTTTTTGATGTCCAGCCACTTTGTTAGATTTCGTGTCCAAAATCACCTCAATGGTACAAAAACTATTATAGATAAAAAAGGTATGAGTCATAGGTTGGTCTAAACTTCTCCTTAGTATCCCCTTAAAATTTATTCAGGATTCAGCTTATTCTACTCATTTTTATTTCAGCCGCTGCTGCCCCATTTGCCGTCATCAACATCTTGGTCTGACGTAGTGCACCAACCACACAGAATGGATATTGTTTTGAAATGACAATCGATTATCTCATTCATGGTTTCAAAACTTAAAAGTTTTGAACCTTTTTCAAAGCTTAAATAGAGTGTCTCATGGGAATAACCATTTGTCGCAAAAGGGCCAAAGCATTTAGCTATTAGGTGTAAACATTTTGAAATGTGTCAAAATCTTAGACTGTTTAGTGTCTTATCTGCTAGCGCAGGAACGAAGTTACACAATTATTCTAGTATCAGTAACAGAGACAGTTGGCTCCCGTCTCGTCGCTGAGTTGCATTCTGCGAACCGGAAGTGTCAGCTTGTTGCACGTGGAATGAGTTGACAGACAGCTGACAAGTTGGTAAAGAGGAGCAAATGGAAAGATTTAGTGTGACAATTAAAGTCGGAGAACACTGCTCTACTTTCGCAGTTAAAAAAAATCTTATAGATTCTCTTATAGAAGTTCGGAATATGGGGTCATTTGTTTATGTAATCGTATGGGCCCTCGGGCAAATAAGGGTTGATGTCACTTGTATTTTCAAAGTTCTCCCCAAAATTGCCCAAGTCACTAAGCGTCGTGGGAAATTTTGGGAAAAATATGAATGAAATTAATTGAAAATGCAAGTAAAATTAATCCTTAATTGCCCGAGGGCACTTGAGTATCACATGAAGGGCAAATGTTTCGAGGGAACTGTGTTCGCGCTCGATGTCCAAGCGAAGAAGGCCTTTTTATGCCGCCGCAAATGTCAAAACAAATGTAACTGACCAATAGATTCAATGAACACTTTATTTTAAAATGCATTGAACAACGTTACACGGCTTCATCTACTTACATTGCAATCAATAAGTCGTTGCCGCAAACAGTAAAAGGTTAAATCAGCATCGAGCAATCATGTCCTCTTGATCTGTCTCAGTCAATTAGCATTCAGTCATTCTGCCCCGCATGTGATAAAACCTGAAACATTATACCGCCTTGTGAAAATCATGGATTTTATTTAACCATTATATTTACAAATAGTAATGTTATTAATTATGGAGAATGTTTTAATTGTACTTTGCAATTCTTCTAATACCGTCACTATGTTCTTTGATGTATATTTTTTTATCCCGGAGGAAGTAAACAACCGATCGGAAATGGGTTTTAGAACAGTGTAGACAAAATATTAACTTTTTAAAGTCATTTAAATCAATGTTTAACATACCTGTTAACTGTGACGGAAATAAATTATCCGCATGCCATAAAATGGCCAATATTTTGACCGTTAGCCGCAAAAGTTTTCACCTCATTGACGCCCTTTGAATCAGTCTCGTACTCAGACCTTTCACGGCCGAGTGGTATGATCTTGATAGGAAAGATGGTACGTTTCTTAACTTATTTGGTGGAGAAATAAAGAACGGGATATTTTGTCTAAACACGAACGATTTTGAACGCGGTAGAATTACAGATGTTTTCCTTTTTTTTTATAGGCTATCGGTTAACCCCATTGAGCTTGAGACCTTCTCATACGTGAATACATACGCGCTTACACATATACTTTGATTTCCGTATTTTTGAGGCATTGCATTGAGACATTGCATCAATCTATAAGAGCAAACTAATTATATTAAGACCCTAAAGATGAATTTAAATCATGCTGATAAACCAAAGTCAAAATAAGAAAATCGCAGGTTATCTTGACGCTTTTTAATAATTATAATACATTTCGTTAACAAGACGGCTCATAAAACACGTGCAGAATTGCAAGAAGAACGAGAACGATCTACAGTTGGTAGATCACTGCTCCGGTATCGCAGAGGTCATGGGTTCATATCCTGTACATGCCTGAATTTTTTTTTCATGCCTTATTTTCCCTACTGTTAAAGTAGTGCTCATTACTGCGAAGATCGCTTTCATATTCACGTATTTATCCACAGTTCACATATATGTTTTTCATATATTCACAGTCATTTATTCCCACAACTCTCCGTACTCTCCGCTTACCTTGTTGCTATAGTATTTACATCAGAATACGAAGCCACTTCCTCCATATTTCTGAGAATTAAACAGAAACCGCATAAATTATGGATGACGTCCAACAACTATGTCTTCGGTGACGGCTTGCTTTATGTCTTAAACGATTAGAAATGCATACATAACACACTACCTTGGTTAAGACAGGATTCATGAATCACAAAAGGAAGAAACATTGTGATAGTTACCTTAATCCTGACAATGCGAGCTACTAAACATTACGTCACTTCCTTTAAATTTCTGAGAAGTGCAGTGGCTTCGAAGAAAATGATAAATTGTGTCTGGATGACTGTGGAGAAGCTCCCATGCACTGAATTTGAGCGTGAAAATCGTGAAGATTAAGGTATCTACCACAAAATTATTTCCTATATGGTCAAGGAATTCATTTTGGAAAATCTTAGTTAACCAAAATCACTGTCTTAGACAGTCTGTTACCTATGCATTTCTTTTAAAATTGTTTTTAAAAAGAACAAAGTTGTTTAAAAGGATTAGAATTTTTCCTCGATCAAAAAGTCGTGAAAAATGTATGACGACTAGTTTCAGACGGATCTGTGAACCACATTTATATGGATGATGTATCATTTGTGCCACTCATTTAAGATATACATATTTTTGGGCTGCTTAACTCGATGAGATTAGTAGATGTCGCTATAATCCATCCATTCTAATCTTTGCATGCATTTTTTGCGAAATATGGAAGCGAATTCGAGAAGCATCCAGTGAGAAGTGCATTTCCTTTAGAAAGTATGTGGTTTATTCCTTTCTATGCGTCTAACATCTCCGGCCCTCGAGTATTCAGCTTCACAAAGGCGAGTTCTATAACAGTCCTGCTTTATACAAGTGGAAATAACAAACTCGAACCAAAGAGAATTTTTGGAGTTATCTTGGTTTAAGCACCTGCCAAGTTTTTCTTCGCCTTGTGACAATTATTTTAAAAAGCCTTTTGTCATAACTGTTTCGTTTCCTCTGTTATTCGTCACTCTTGAACGTATTATTCACAGACTTGAACCGAACTTGAGCCCAAACATGAGCTATTTTAAGCTTAAGTTTTCCAATTTAGGACATGAATTTCTATTCCAAAATTGTCTGCAATATTTCACTTCTTGCCAGCTGAAGTAACAAAAATTATTGTCCCCCTATAATCGTCATTTCTGCATGAGTATTGTTACGACTATCAAAATAATGTCGAGAGGGCTAGCTATCGAGCACACCACGCTCGATGAAAGGCGCCAAGACTCTTGAATTGTCTTTTTCGCTTTTTTCTTTAATTATTCGGTTCTCCAGTACGTAATTCTACTTACATCCAAGCTTATTTCATTCTGTGTAACTCCGGTTAATCCCTTAGGCTCTCACACTTTGAGTTTCACTGAATACTTCTTCTTTAACTGCGGAATTCTGACTCTACTCTTCTGCACTCTTTTTACATTCCTCTGGTCTGCTCTTCTCTCTCTTCATTCCACTCTCCTAAGTGAGCTCTAAATAACATACTGATATGTTTACTACTACCGATATGGGTGGGCATGTCAGCTGCCTGACCTTGGCAGATCAAACATTCGTTGTTAGAACACGAAATCAAACATTTTTACGAGACTTTCGAAATGAACAGTAAAGTACTTAATCATAATGCTTGCGATCAACTTAATCAACCTCTGACTGCCTCGACACGAATTCATACATTAAATACATTCTGACTATAAACGAAAGGTATGATCACACTGAACTGACTAACTAAATGACTAACTATAATTATAAATTAACAATATACTTCATAACAATATAATGCTAAACTTAGAAATCATTCAAGGCAGACAAATGCCATAGCGTCGTCAACCATGACACTGCTGGTGCACCAAATTTATCAGTTACACCGAGAATGTAGATTTACTTTTGTTTTTAAGACTTCGAGAATATTCGGGGTTGTGTAAATTATCGTCAACCGTAGGTTATCAATAAACAGAAACTAATGGTATTTCCGAACGGATTATGACGTCACCAAAAAAAAAAACAGGAAATGATTTAGACAGGATGGAAAAACCAGTTCGAAACCGAAAGGAAGGAAAGAGCTAATGAGAAAGTTTTTGCAACTTAATTATTCATGACCAGATTAAATTGATAACTTGAATTTTATCGTTTCTTAGAACTTATGAGCATGTTATTTCGCGTTATTTCGCGCCAATTCTGTTTTCGAGGTCCTACGTCACCACAGTGTTTTGGAAATCTCTTCATCTTTACGACAGTTATATATGAGTATCGGAGATTTGGTTGCCTAGTGAACACAGTGGTTGCAATCATAAGAATTAGGAAGGTTTTTTTTTTTTTAAGTAAACTAGTGAGCAGCACTCTGCGAACAGTAGCTGTAAAACTTCTTAATTCTCCAACCCGTTTCGTCTAACTGTCGTAGACTTCTTCAGGGAGTTTTACAAGTTATAATTAACACTAAACGCCTGTAGATATAAGCAAAAGTTGGCGGTTATACGGGGGCTAATAACCATAAAGGCTTGGCCGGACATACGAACAGGAACATGCGAAGCTGTGAAAAATTTCAAAACTTTTTGGGCAAGGCGAGAAAAATATTTGGAAAATATTTCGGTGGTAAAACTTCCGCACAGCCCCATACTATTATAAAAAATAGGTTTTCCCAATAGCAATGTATTGTTTTTGTCATTGTTTTCTCTATCCAAGAACTGAATGCATAATGTAGTATGGGGCTGTGCGGAAATTTTACCCCTACAACTACTGTTCTCAGAGTGCTGCTCACTAGTCTAGTTTTTAAAAAAATGCATAGAAAAATCTGTTTAAAAAAATTTTGACAACAATTAGGAAAGCCTTTTAAACTGTTCTACTGATCATGAAACCATGGTAAGTGATGAATTAATGGTAAAACGATTTTAGAGGTTTTCGTTTAAGCTCCGAAATTCCTGTTTTTTTTCTTTCGTAATATTGTTATAACTCCTAACACAGTGGATTCCATGCCGACACCAGGAATGACATTTTAGCACGCGTTTAGTATTTATTGACTTGAAAAGCAGTG